CTCAAAGTTTTCAATGTTTTTTTATATGGGGAAAAAAAACTTTTCGTAAAAATAGTGTAGAATTATTGAAAATCAATATTTTTCGATCGGAAACTTTGCTCAACTTCAGGAGATTCCCGGTAATAATACCCAATTGTTCCTTTAACAATTTTTTCATGGTGACTATATTTTATGGGTCCTTGAAAATGCAATGGGGTGACCAATAAAAAATCTTTAATCATAAAAAATGGTTAAATAAACAATTGGTTATCAATATTTGAAGTCTCCTGAGGAGAATGAAAAATATTGATTTTCAAGAGTTTTATGCCATTTTTACGAAAATTTGTTTTTTCCCCATATAAAATATATGGAAAACTTTGAGCGCTGTGAGCACTCCCTAAATATGTTTTGATTTCAAAATAAAAAAATTTATTTTCGGTTCAGAACAATCCTGGGGGATGGCTAGTTTTTTATACACAAGCTTTTTTGTCGACTTCAAATAAAGGGGGAGGTTATCAATTCGTCGCTTTATTTTTTTTTGGTTTTTATGTATGTTATCAGAAATAGTGGGGTCTCATACTAATTTGGTTTAGATCAGAGGTTCCCAAACTTTTTTCTCGTAGACCCCTCTCAAAAATTTACTGGTTTCGGTGGACCCCCTGGTGATACATTTCTAAATATTCCCAAAGCTCGTAAAAAAATTAAATGTGAAAATTAGATCTAACAATGTAAATTTGCATTCCGGTGAATTCAAAAACTAAACTCAGAGTGCCCAAATTATAAGTAAAATATTTTCTTGTGTTCTCGGAAGAGTTATATTTTTTAAAAGCACTGCGAGCGCTAGCGTTATTTACATTATCTTCTCCATAACCTCATCAAATGTTCGGCTCACTGATGACTTTACACGTGGAGCATGATTCAATAATAGAAAGTTTTTGTAATAAAACAGTCTTCTCGCTCCCACACATAAAATCGGCTCCCTTACTTGTGCCGAATGTTGCTTCCTCTATAGTTTCTAGTGATATTAGTAGTAAAACCAAAAACCCTTCATACTAAATATTCGTTGGCGTCACCTTCGTTTGCGTAACTTTCTAGAACCACTGTAGAAAAGCGACCGTTTAGCTATAGAATAACAAAAATGCCGATTGATAGAACTTTTTACGCTGATTTCAACGATACCAAATTTATTTGGCGCAGGTAAAAAAGAAGACATAAGAGGTTTATTTGTATTTTTTATTATCACTAAATTGTTGAAACCCAAGGGCAGATCATGATAAAATATGTACACCCAGAAAAAAAATCGTGTTAAAACAACCAAATTTTAACCAATTTTGTGGTTATTATTTTTCAACGCGATATGTCATGTTATTTTCACATGAAGGAAATTTTTTAACATTTTTCCCTCTTGTTGACTTAACATTGGATAATTGTTAATTTAACATTGAAAGTGCTGTAAATTTAACCTGAAACATCGGTTTATTTTAACAAGGCATGTGGTTGGTTTCACAGGATATTCTACATGAAAATACTGGTTGAATCAACAGGAGTTGTTGTTAAAATAACACTACGTCTTCATGTTAAAAGAACCATATTTTAATGTTATTTTAATATGACATCGTGTTACCTTGTGTCCCTACTTTTACAAAATAAATAACAATTTGTTTAGTTTATTTTTATTAAAAAAATTGAAATATTTAAACTGTTGACTTAAAAACTAAGTACTTATCTATTTATTACACAAAATTCATACACAAAAATTTCATATGTACATACATACATACACTATAGTGCGAAACTGAGTCCATGGTGATTTTTGTTGTACATGTGCAAGGTTTTTAAAGTTAAATTTTTTTTGTTACTTTTTTATGAAAACATGGTTTATGCTTTAACCAAAACTATATAAATCAAACTTTCAGTTTTTATGCAGAGCTTAGAAAAACTCAACAAATTTTTATAAAAATTGTGGACTTTTAAAAAACTTTCAAACATTTTTGGGTAGTTTTGTAGCCTGTTAAATTTTAGTATGATAAAGCGCAAGTTTTAAGCGGATAAAAAATTGCTGACGGCTTTTGCGGTTTTTTTTATACAACAAGTGCAATTTATAAAAACTGACAATGAAAAAGTTTTTAAAAATCAACGCGATTTTTTATCCGCTTACAACTTGCGCTTTATCAGACTAAAATTTAAGAGGCTATAAAACTGCATGCCCAAAAAAGTTTGAAAGTTTTAAAAGTCCACAATTTTTATAAAAATTTGTTGAGTTTTTCAAGCTCTGCATAAAAACTGTATCAAATTGTTTTAAATACTTTTTAAACGGATTGCTTTTTGATTGTTTTGAAGAATATGAATATGTACAGGAGGTGAGCTAATTTTGTCTGCACTTATAAAACTATAACTATCTGATTTTTCACCTACCAAGTATGACTGAATATGTGTACTGAAATTTATAATTTCCCACTGTGAACAAATAAAGAAAACGTTTTTGCATCAAACTTACAACAATATCTTCGATTTGAAACAAGTATATAGCCTCCTGTTTTACAATAACAAAAAACCCTCTTTTAAATAAAAATCCTTTAAAAGTAACTTTTGAATAAAATTGATAATTAGATAATTCATATTCTCTTTGAAAATCGCAATTGTATTTAAAGCTTAAAGTACTAGGTAATACAGAATTAGCGCTTATATTTAAATCTTGGTTGAAAAAAACGTTCGTTACTCAAGCTATATGCAAATTTCAATGCGGCTTTAATCGCAAGACTCCATGGAACATTTACACGGCAATTAATTGAATTAGCGTACGTTTTGAATATTTTGTGTACAGCTTCAAATCTCATGCACCACACATTTTTTAATGGGCCGCATTTTTTTATGGCAGTGAAATAATGAACAAGGAAATGAAATTTCGGTTTAAGTGTTTTTTTAAACAGCGACATATAAAAAGAATTATGACTTTTAACTAGCAATTTCAATTTATTTAGCAAAACATCATCGATTTCATTTAACATAAGAATATCAATGATTTGAAGTAGTATCAAAAAAAATTTCCACACTTCATCTTCTTCAGGAACTAGATCGCCAATTATCAAAGAAAAATGATGCACAAAACATATCATTTCTCTAGCTGTCATTCGAAAGTTACAAGTTTTCAAATTTCCTATACTTATAGGTGGAGAGATGTTTCCAATTTCTGTTTCACCGTACTGAAACATTTGCTTTCGATAATTGAGCGTATCTATACTAAAATACTTTTTAGTTTCAATAAAATGTAAAATGATTTCTGAAACATCATACCTACAAACGCCCTCAAATATATCATGCATCAAGTCAAAATAGAAATTATCAACTACATGAAAGCTTTGAATGTGATTAAAAATACACATTTCTTTTATTCCTGTCAATTTATCGTTTTCAAGAGTGTAATCAGAGGTGTATGTTTGCTCATTTCGCAAAAATTGTACATGCTCCGTGACGTCTGTTTGTAAATTATTTTTGGGTCTTTTACAGTTTCGGCAATAATAATTCGAATTGAAACTTGTTGTGAAACCTAAATTGAATTTAGACCTAGGTTATCACCAATAATTAAAGATAAAACAAAGTAAATGTGGAAGTCTCCCTCTTGAGTTTTTAAAACTATGCCCTCCGTTTCTAATTGCTGAATGATTTGTATCAAAGGATTAAATGCAAAAATATTGCCGTATTCTTTTCGATGCCTAGATTTAAAGAGAGCCTGCAACAAAATGGTTTTCTAACGTCGACAAATGGTGACTTGGAATTGTTGGAAAATTGTAATATATACCACAAATTGCTTGATCAGCAGCATGGGAACCCAAAGGGTTATCAATTCCAAATTCATCATAATATATTATGTACGGAATGACGAGTTTATCTCCAAAACTAGAAATTTTTTTCTTCCAAGTTTCCCCGTGAATGAGATTTTTATATGTATTTTGATTTGACTGTAGCATTTTCATATTACCTAACGTTTTGCTCAAGTTATTGTCTGTTTCGAAATATTTCTTCATTTGAAATTTGATTGGCATTAATACACCTACCACTTTGTTTGAATTTAAACCCGGGTTACTATTAACTACTATTTCTGCTATTTCTTCATTGATAATGTATGAAGTTGGAAGTTGAAAAATTTGTTCACTTTCCAAAGCCTTAAAAAAACGGTACTCATTAATATTATTATCGAGAGCAGGAAATAAACTAAGGAAATTTGTTTCAGCGGTTGTTCTGATATTTGAGTTTGATATTAAAGGCGACAGTGACATTAATACATGTTCTTGTATTGGCTTTAAAATTGTATCGCTAATTTCCTGTACAATAGAAAACACATCTTTTCTTCTGAAATTGTTTTTGTATGTAGAGACAATACAAACATATTCATATTAAATTTTTTTTTGCGTTGTATTATTAAAATTAGAACTTAATTTATTAGTCTGCCCTTTAGTAATATTAGGCCTAACAAAAACAGGTGCATGATAAGATACAGCAGGTGTACTTGGCAACGACGCATGAACTCTACGTAGGTGATTTTGAAAACTATACACGTTTGAAAAACATTGACCACATTTAGAGAAAGTGCAACAAAATTTTTTATCTCAGCAAAAACATGGAAAGATTTCAAATGGTCAACTAACAATTTTGATGAAGAAGACCTTTCGTTACATATAAAGCATTTGAACATTTTATCAATCTACTCCAACAAGTTTTGAGTATCTTTTAAATAATTCTTAAGTGTAATAACATTAGGGTGTGCACAATCCGCAATGCCAAAAAAGTAGGATTCGATAAAATTATATATGGATTTCGCTTGTATCGGATATTCCAAATTTAATACATGAAAGATTTTAAATAAAGTATCAAGTGATTTTAAAAATGTCGGTACCTTGTAAATTATACTGTCGAAAATAACGTAAAAAGAGTCTAACTGAGTTAGTTTCTCTCCGACTACCAATAGTAGCGGCTGAAGAGGAAGATTCTTTTGATTTAACTTAATCTTTAATTCGTGGTACATCCTCTGATAATCGTTTATGCTGCTGCAATGCAGCAATGTCACTGCTTGCGCATCACATATTGATGGCTTCCATTTAAACCGTTTTTCACCAGAAGTTTGTCCAACGGAAATTAATGACGGTTTAAGTATCGCATGCAAAAGCAGTGTCAATAAACAATCCATTGAGTCTGCATAAGAAAATAAAATAAATACTTGAAAAAATAAATATTAGACTTGTTGCTTTACCAGTACTGATGTTTTCGTCAATTTTTTTTAGCATAACAATGGATGTTGCATCTCTTATTTTTGTCTTCATGTAAGGTATAATTGACTTTCTAAATTTTGGCCATTCGTTTAGCAAATTCTGCGAACAGTTGGGAAATTTCGCTTCAAAATCAATTTCAACCTGCAGTATAATTGAAAATATACAAATTCCAAAGTTTTATATCATAAATAAGAAAATTTAAAATAGGTACATATATAAAGCTAAACTTACCAAAGTGTATCCAAGACTGTGTTTCAGCAGCGGCCAATTAGTTAAAATATTTGCGTGTTCATTTAAAATCTCTGCGGTTCTTAATTTGACTGTGTTCGTCCATTTTTCTACAACATCGCCCCAAGGCTCTACATTATGACAAAGCAAATTTTTCATGGCTAAGTCATTTTCATCTGCTAATCGAAGGAAATATTAATCATGGTTTTTCCTTACATGTGTATGTACTTATTTTTGTATGTATGTACGTGTAGGTATTGCACCGTGCGACAAAAACAAAAAAATTTCGAAACCCACGAAGCAATCAATATACTCACGAAACTGTGGGCCAAATATAGTGGTATATACATACATACACGTACATAGATAAGTACGTTTTTGTAAAATTAAAGTTACTATTGCTCGCCTGCTCCGACAAACTTGATTGAGTGGGTTGACATTTAGGTGCAACGCTTAGTGCTCCTGTTTCTTTTTTTATTTTCCTTCGGATGTTTGTTGCCTTATCATAAAGTTTGCCTGTTGGATTTTTGCCATTTCGACGGTTGCAGTAATAGCGCTAAATAAAAGTAAAATAAATGCATTTAAGTGTTGAATTTTTTTTTTTTTAATATTCACAACGTTTTTCAAGCTAAATTCATTCTGTTATTTTTCTATAAAAATTGTATCCAAGCTTTAGCCAAAACCATATAAATCAGAGTTTCGAACTTTCTTCCACTTTTTATTTCGTAAGAAATTCATGCTTATAAGGAAAAAAGGGCAAAAATCTGTCAGCTAAAAAATTATTAAAAATCAGTGCTATTTTTTATCCGCTTGAAACTTGATCCTCCTTTACATATGTATTTACAAATTTTGATAGCAAGTGAATATGAAAATGCATACATACCATGTCTTCGTTGGGAAATAAAATTGTTATTTGCTCAGAAAAGGTGATGATATCTTTCATTGTCATAGGCACTGATCGCGCTGAGAAGTGGTCAACAATGGTATTTACCAAAATGTCACGACTAACATCTGACAGCACGGTCTTTTCTCTATATTGTTTAAAGATGCTTTGACCTCTTTCAGTGGCATTAAGTATTAACTTTAAATTCTTTGCTTCCATGTCTCTTATCGAGTCGTGAGACTCTTGGCTAGAATTTATCCAACTCTTGCATGATCCTATTGACGAAATGGTATCAGCCTTAAAATAAAAAAAGTATGCAAAGCTTATCATTGATGTGAAAATGATTTACTTACTTCATTCTGTCGCCAACGTGCAACTCTTTCTTTAAACTTTACTCTCGTTCCGAGCATTGATGCAGGGAAAAGTTCATTTATGTCCCCATCGTTGATGAAATACAGACTTTCTACATCCATTCCGCAATCTGTCAATAACATAAATATGCATATGGTTCCTCGCAGATTCTCAAAGAACTTACCGAGAATTCTTTGATAAACTTCTTCACTGAAGTTCATTTTACCACATACGACGTCTTTCAAATTTTCTTTTTCACGTGAAGCTTCAGTGGCTTGGTTTGCTGCAGTGAAGTCTCAACTTCATTCCCCATGGTTAAATCACCATCAACAACGAAATATATGCCCGCCGATTCCCCAAAGACAT